GACATGTGTATTTGTAGAGTAACTAAGGATAATATAAGTATGTAAATGTAGTATTACGAGCAATTAACGACTTCAGTAATTAATAAAGGAGTTATTAATATTTACATAAAAAACAAGAAAATGTTTGTATCTGAGCGTATGTTGGTGGGGTATATAGCAGATATCTTTAGTGTTCCTGATGCTATTTAATTACTCCGGTATTATGAGTAGGTAATCTTACATGATGCAGCTAGAGGAATAGGCAAGACTAGAGAATGGGTGCAAATAGTTAAACTAAATAGATCACAGGCATAGGGTTCATAAAGGAAGAAGTCAATTGTTAAGTTTTAGTAATTTGCACTGTAAAAGAAGGTTTGGAAAGCTCTGAAATAAGTCCTGAGCAAAAGAGAAGGTATACGTGACTGGAGCAAACTCCACTACAGTATCTACTCTTAAGGAAGGTAGACGCTCATCTCAAAACCATTGGTAAAGGGAACCGTCATATTCTGGAATCCGCTATCAGGGGAATTAAGGTATTCTAGTAAGTCCTTGTAGCCTGTTGCACCGGAGATAGTATTATCTGTTAACACAACTGCACCGCGTCGCATCTTCTGTTGAACTATCTTGAGGGTGGGCAAAGCCAAAGGGGTCCAAACTAAATCATCGATATATTAGCATGTTTAAAAGAATCCTCTAACGCATATTACATCTGGGTATTAATAACGTGAATGTCATAGAGATGAATACTTGAACAGTAAGTTCTTCATGTTGGGCTTAGAAGCAAAAACACTTACTATCAAGTAGGAGAAGGTCTATTTCGGGCAAACTAGACTTTAGCGTGTCTAGGAGGTTCCCCACGCGCAAGTCAATAACTTCCTCCACTTTCTCCCCACACTTCTTCCAGTATCCCTTCGCTTTAGCTGCTTTCTCAGGCTCCTTTTCCGTGGCAAATACCCTTCCTTGCTTCCCCAGCGCGGCATTGTTTTGAGCCACTGCTAGTGCCAGATAAATAGTACTCACACCATAACTGGTCCCGGCCTCTACAACATTTGTAGCTCCCATAGCGCCGATGAGTTGGTAAACAAAGTGGCACTTGTCTTCATCCAGGGCAATGAATTTGTCACGCATTAGATCGTCGAAGTCAGGCCTTGCAAAGGCCGACCGCTTGTCCTCTGCATCGCCTGGTAAGTTGTCCGTGGAGGTGAATTTGCCCTTGGGGTTTATAGCTGCTTCTTGTTTTAGGGACTCCTGGTGGAGTTGGCTAAGGAGGTCCAGGATGTGCTGGGGTGCACGGATGGGGGAGGGGAATGGCATCGTCGTCTTTTAATTGAAAGAGTTGATTCCGTAGAGTGGTTATTGTGATCAAGATTGTAGCTGTGTAGATCATTAAAAGCAACTCAAGTTTTATTTATATAGTATTTCTTTACATGATGACAACCTATATTACCCCTCATTTAGCGCGAGATCGAGGCTGTCTAAAAAAAACCTCTTCGTCTAACTCATTGTCTTAGTTCGTCACCCCACTTTCGGCTAATTTGTCGCCTATTTCTTCGGATTTTCGCCAGCCCTTTTGTTTGTTTGCACAGACTTGTCCCTGCTTCATCTTGACTGGTGTTAATAGTCGCTTGAAAATATTGGTTATGCGCAAGTATCATCGTGTGACTTGATGGAATATGAGGTCTAGGTGCAGTACTCGGAGCAAGAATGGTCTCGCAGCTAATCTCAAAATGTTATTTCCACGCAATACTGACTGTTGGAGCAGGTTGTTGGACCTGTCGAGCACGCAAGATCAAATGTGACGAGTATCGGCCTATCTGTATCAATTGTAAAGAGCGGGCTCTCGAATGTGACTACGTTCCGCGCCCAAAGCCTCGACGTCGTCTATGGAGCCGATTCACGAAGGGGCCTGCTGGAGCAAATGATACTGTAACCCTAGTAGCGACCTATGATTTCTGTTTCGAGAATTCCATGGTTAATAAACCCTCGGCCGAATCATCTTATAGATCACCTACCAATCTTTTAGGCCGTAACACATTCTCCTGCAGTTCGAACTATAGAGAATGTAGCGTAATACCAGATGCCTCAACATCACTCATCTCTTGTAGCACCAGTGATCATTTCGAACTCCCTCTCAAACTTACTCGTAGTGATTGGCCAATACCTCTAAGTCCTGGAGAATGCCGAGCATTCCGTCACTTCTTTGAGAAATTTATCCCTCGTATAGTTCTCAAAACCCCGCAATATTCCTCATATGCCATCCTTCTCCGGTTATGTACGAAGCACGCTCTCTTAGCATATCTTATCATTGCATTTTCAGTGCAGGATATGACCCATGAAAACGATACGGAATTAAACATAGTCGCTATCGAGCATTACCGGAAATCTTTGAAAATGTTTATAGATCATTTAGGTCATCTGATAGGGAACTATGGATGATATTTGTTGAATATAGACAACTAAGATAGGCAAGGACAACTGTTGCCTTCTATGAGTCATAACAATAGGCAGCAATAGGCAACCTTATGGACTCTAGGTCTATATATATAGCACTTCTCTCTATAGAAATAAGATCATCGTTGAAAATATCCAACAATATCTCCAGCCTTATGGCTGTTTATCCACTATGAACAACAGTATGGTGAAAGTCCTCAACACCTACAGAAGCATCTCGAAGGAGTCAGAGGTCTTGTTGAATCTCATGGCTACGCACTATTTCCTGGGCTTGGTGGCGGATCCACTACAATAAACGTTGCTGGATAAGAAATTCCGCGCTAGATTTTGGACCGACTTGCACTTTGGACAATCTATCATGATGCAGCTGCAACAATGTTTGGCTTTGGTGGAAGCATCATACAACTTATAAAAGAGAAGTATCCTGCCGTGATTGAACGAATACGACCGAGACCTAACACGGTTATCAATGATGCGTGGGGCAACAATTATCCACCGGAGGAAGACCTTTCGGACATCAAAATGAGCCCTATTCAAAATTCAATACATGAGAGTATTATGCTTAAATATGAAATATCTCTGGCCATGCAACGCAATGATACGACCGTGGATGCTAAAGATCTCATATCTATTGGCCGAGAACTTAAACAGCTTGAGGAGGTATTTTATTAGATCCTATCTGCATGGGAGTGTCTAATTGATGATTTCCGTAGAAATATTCCTCGCTCATCGAAGCAGCTATTTCCACAAGCACGAGGGTAACAGCTATATGTGGATGGTAGCATGGCCAATGTTTGTCGTTGGCTTAGAAACTGACGACATTATCCATCAATCCTGGCTTCTAGAGCGTTTTAAAACTACAAGAGGCAAGAATATGCAACGTGCGGCGGTGATCCTGAAGCTGTCTTTCTCGAAAAGATAAAGATGAAGATGAAGATGAAGATGAAGATGAAGGTGAAGGTGCCTGTAGACTACCTCTTTTGGATCAGGACAGGGAAGTTTCAGGGGTTCGTGATATAAAGAAACCAAATATATAGCGAAACTGGTCAAATATACTCGTTGGTCAGGAATACGTCTTGTTACTTTGCCATAAATGTCCACTGGCCTTTGAGTACCTCATGTAAATAGATAATTGGCACACTCCACCTTGTAGAGTCTTCTTCGAAAATGCTGCCTGTAAGTTGTAGTTCCAAAATACTTTAGACAGGCTACGCTAAATGCGACAAGCTCATAAATTCTATTAGGTTATTGCCATGGTAGCCTAAATAAGAGTTCCGACAGAAATTTCTCTTGTCCGCCTTTGTTTACATGGCGATTTCTTTTTTTTGTTGGGGCCTCGCGTGGTTGTTTCCTGATTCTTTTTTTCTCTGAGGGTTAAGATGTTGTTCAAAAGACGAAGTATACGAAATGCTATTATGGTAGTAGAAGCAACAAATGATCAGCCACAGAATATTGATGAGGGCTCAAATAAGGGTGCTAAAGAATAAGACCTGTCAAAATTTCCGTGCTTCCTTATTGCCGAGAAGCTGCTAGTAGCACTGTACGAAATTAGCAAAGTTGTGAAGAGTCATCGCAGGGGTGACACAATTACTAGTAGGAGTTGGCCTTATAACGAACTGATGGAATAAGAAAAATTCCAAAGTAGAAGTTATATTAAAAATTTTTAGATTTGGGCGGGGATATTCAAATCACCGAACCTCGCCCCTCAACCCATACTACTGCCATCCATCAGAGCATTGTTCATCTGCAACTTCATCTTTATGCATGGAAAAACCTCGACCCCTTCTTTTTTTAACGGAGGCTCTCAAGAGGACTATTATATTGTCTGAGGAGTAGAAGACGAAGCTCGTACGGAGCGGTATATATACACATGGAACAGACACTGAGCTGAATATAGACAGTTTGGAGGATCAGGTGATACTGACTCTTGGATTCTTTAACAGAGCAGTTTTAAACTCCTCCACACCATTTATTCTTGATGGACTATAGTTTATTTTCTTCCGAGTATTGTTACGTTTTTAAGCTTCATAAAGTATCACACCTATGTACAAGTGTCAAGGATTTCAAGTGTCAGTATTACCTGATACTCTAGTCCTATATTCAGCTAGCGTCTGTTTCGTATATATATATTGCGCTCTGTACGAGCTCTGCTTTCTGCTCCTAACACAATACAATCCCTAATTTTCTGTTTCTTGATATTGCACCATTATTCCTCACTGTACACAGTCCCCAATAGCAAGGATCACCCCCTATTCGGTGTTTGTTATCATAACCGAGAAGAGTCACTTAGGTGTAACCCTAGGCCATGGCAATGGTAACACTTGTAGATTTAGAGAATGAAATATATGGCCTAAATTTGAGTTCAGGGTGGTGTTAAAGTAACTTAATACAGTCCCAAATTAACAGTGTCGATAAGTGTCTCGCTCTAACGTTAACCCGTGCCGAAGCTAAAGTGGGGCTACTTCGGGAAATATCTGCAAGTCCCCACTTTTATGCAAAAACTCTTCATAAACCTAAATAAGCGCAAGCTGCAACAAATCAAGTCAATCACATAGTGATTAACATTCCATCCCTCGGTCGTCTAGTTGGTTTATGGCGTCCGGCTGTAATTGTTCAGTCTCACCGGAATGGTATGTTTAACCCTATAAATTGCTCTCAGACATCTGCTAACAGATGACACAGTCGCGCGTTCGACTCGCGCCTGAGGGATCTCATTCGAACATATTTTTTGCAAGTTTGATTTTGGTAATTTTGGAGAATTATGCTGGATATCTGCCTAGCGAGTAGTATTTTGGCGGCAAGGTACGTTAAAGTGGGGCTTGTTCACCTGAAAATAGCTTTTTCCCATCCGGTCTTGTGTTGTATCTTCAAAATATTTTATTTTGTAGCCCCATCAGAAGTAGAGACCTCTTTCTTTCTGTCCGCTTTTGCGTTAAGAGACAACCATTGAATAAAGGACACAAAGTCCCCTCAGGGGGCCTCCACCCGCCTTTCAGGAGCTCGCTTCTTTGCGTCACAAATGGTGATCAGTTGATAGAGTCGAAGAAAACAGTGTTGCGAAATTGATACATTGGAACTTGTTTTATTTATAACCTAAGCATCTCAATTTATTTCATCAGCCTCTTCTCGGCATTATATTGCTTCTAATATGATTTGATTCTTGCCTGTATCAATGTCTGATTGCTATGAGACTATTAGTTCCCAACATTCTCCTCATGCTCCTCACTCCCCAGCCCCTTCTCCCTCTTTAAATCTTCCAAATTCTGTACACCTGCCAAGCCCAAACTCTCCTCAATCCTCTGCATCCTCGCACGATCTGCTGCTGCAATACTACTATTATCACCACCGAAATAAACGTCTAGCTCCTCCAGCGTCTTGTTCTTCGTCTCTGGCACTAGCAACCATACAAATAATCCTCCCCCTGCACAGAAAGCAGCAAAGAAGATATAGGTCCCGTATTTCATGCTACCAAGCATATCACGGGTCGTAAGGCCGATGACAAAATTGAACATCCAGTTGGTTGATGCGACGATTGAAACCCCGCGGGAACGCATGCTGTTAGGAAAGATTTCTTGCGTTAGCACCCAGGCGACAGGACCCCAGGAGTAGGCGAAGTTAACGGCGAAGAGCCAGATGAATGCAATTGATGCCCACCCTGCAGAAGTATGAGTCGGCCAGGAATCTTCGAAGGATCCGTCAATCGCGGCGACAATGACATGGCAGATACACATTCCTGCTGCACCAGCGATTAAGAAAGACTTTCTTCCAAAGTTATCGAGGAAAAGTACGGCTGGCAGGGTGAAAATGATTTGGAGGACTCCAGTCACTCCGGTTGCGAGGAGTTGTGTTGTGACGTCTGTGAAGCCGAAGGTAGCGAAAATTTGTGGGGCGTAGTAGAGGACTGCATTGATACCAGTGAATTGTTGGAAGATCATGATCCAGCAGCCTATTCCGAGGCGTTTAAGCATGGAGCCGCCAAATAGTGCGCGCCATGCTCCGAATTTGTTCTCGGCATTGTATTCTGCCTCGGTCTCTTCATCGAACATGACAGCGGCTTTGATTTCGAGGTACTCTGCGCGGAGGAGAGGATCCTCTGGAGCAAGGCGGCGGAGCTTGGAGAGGGAAGCAATGCAGTCATCATCACGATGCTTCATCATGAGCCCTAAGAGAAATGTCAAATTACATGTCTCAATGTTGGGGGGTGGAGTTACTCACATCTTGGGGAGAAGGGAAGAAAGAACATTCCGAAGAACAAAATCCAGGCCGGAATGAGTTGAAGAGCAAGAGGGAGTCTCCACGAAAGAGTCTTCTCGCCTAGACAAGTGTGACCATGAGCAGCGTATGGAAGGAATGTTCCATCTGAATCCATAGCACCATTGGCCACACCTGCTGGTTTACAGTCGGATCCCCCGACAAAATGCATCCCGTAGTCAAGCCAGAAGGCGATACAGGTACCAATTGTGATGGACAATTGTTGGAGTGAAACGAGAGAACCACGGAGCTCAGGCGGAGCGATCTCAGCTTGGTATAAAGGAATTCTGCACGTTACATATCAGTACGAATTTTTGGCAATGAGGTCAGAAACAATGGTCAATGGAGTTATACACACTGATTATTACATATTCTATTTGAGGGGACTTACACCATACTGAACATTCCAATTCCAATACCTCCAACCACACGTCCAGCAAACAGCATTGCCGGGTTCTGAGCACCTGTTTGCAGTCCAGTACCGACTGTGAAAATTACAACAGCAACCAGCATACTGTACTTTCTAGAGATCCTGTCCGCAAGGTAGCCATTGAGGAGTGCACCAGCCCAAGCGCCAAGTTCAAGGGCAGCTACGAGCCAACCCTGAATTGTCGATCCAGTAAGCGATGGGAAGTGTGCTTCGAAATTCTGCATAACCAGAATAGAACCCATAACTCCTTGATCGTAGCCATACATCATACAACCAAGGGAGGCAAAGAGACAAGTCATGAAGACGTATGGATTGGCAAGCATACCCATGAGACCATGTTTCTTCTCGGCATTGTTGCGACCAACGACTGACTGACTGACTTTGGCCTCTGCGACTTTCTTAGCAAGGATGGCCACCATTGTGAAGGACTTTATCTTATCAAGGTGGTGATTTGAAGAAACCCAAAATTGAAAAGATGAAGAGGATGAGAATGGTGAAAAGGACCTTAGGGAAGACAGAAGCTCAGGTATTAATACGTCTCCTCTCAAGAGCGAGGAGGTTCAGAAAAGCGGGAACTTATTACAAAAGGCTTGCACTTGACCATGAGGACCCCATGGAGACCCCCCAAACACACACCGTCCACTAATAACTCCAACACTAACCGGAAATTCGGGCCTTCTATAAAGTACCAATAGGCTGTCCCCAACTCCCCAACTCCAGGAATTAGGAGAAATACGTGTAAAATCCCCCCCCCCCCCCCCAGTCTGGTTCTCCTAGACTTTGACCGAGCTATCAGGCCGAAGTTGCTTGGAAAGCATTCGTAAACGTGGAATCTCCACTTGGTTCCACCCCTCGGACCATTGTGAACTAGATGCGGAGGCTGGAGGATGTCGTCGGGACAAGCAAGCTAAGCTTTCCTTGGCAAGATCAGTTCAACTTAACATCTCTTGGAAGATTAAAATTTGCTAGGAAATAGCATGAACACACCAAATCATCGAAAACAACTTTAACACTTCCTAGTGTGACGATAACCCGGGAACTACACAATCTGTACAATACTGGATAAAATACCGAAAGAGTAGAACATTCCCACACCGCTAGTCGAGGTTCTCCAGTCCCCAAATCTCCTCATCTCCAATCTCCAAACTCCAGCTCTTCAGGTGTGTATACAGAATTCTCCAAATCCCCATTTTTGAAGTTGATTATCCACTAAGAACCCCACTCACTATCGTCCAAGAACCCACATTCGTTCCATCAACGTACTAAAGACTTCCTGTACGCCATACAGGAGGCTGCACAAGTAGATTCTGGGCCTACTCCGGCCAAACATCATGTGGATATATTAGAATAAATGCATTGGATTTTGAGTATGTCCGGCTCGGAACTTTCTGAGTTCCAGTCACTTCTCGTTAAAAGGTTGAAAAGCAACGGGGTGGCTGACGCGGCGCTTTTAGGAACGATTGTGGAGAAAGCTTATCTCCTCTTCCAACTGACACAGAAGTATGGGTTTTGAAGATCACCATGATTCAATTGATGGGTTAGTAAATAGTGGGGTCCGGGGTAGGACCGAGAGTGCCTGGCGGCTGGATGCCGAGAGATCCGATTTCTGGGCTTCCATCATCTAACTTGATTACTAGGCACAGGCGCATCTATATCTTATTGAGTATATCAGTGCTGCTGTACATGAGCGTTGAAGCAGAAGGTTATGTAGGAAATATTGTATGTGGCTATGTTGGAATGGTTGTTGCTAAAAATCCGGCATCACTTCGGGTATGGAAAAGTTTCGGGATTGGACGGTATGTGGAGGCAGGTAATTTAGATGAAGTTTTCATATTCGCTGATGGTGAGGGAATAAAGTGGATGCTGTTTATAAAATTCTAGTCTTCGTTGCTTGTGCAGACTGGAGAATGAGGAAGACTTGTCTCGTGATTGTATGGGGTCAAACCATACACAAGAATGTAACTCACATTCTCAAGGTTTGTCCAAGCAACAATCTCCGAGCACAAAAATCCTCCCAGAGTCTTAAACTCCGGTCAGCTTCAGTCTCTCATCTTAACACTGACACTTGCACGCCGCAATACCAATAGATTACGGCCTAGGAGGATTTAAGGTTAGGATTTAGAGTTGTTCATTATTCAATGGGACCAAAACTTTAATACTGGTATAGCAGTTATTTCAAGCTTCTAAGTCGTGCCCATCCTTCACCCATCTTATTAACGAGTATGAAAGCTCAAGTTTCAACTAGTACGGCATAAGCATCTGGGATTGTTGCTGCACAGGAGCGTCGGGCTCTTATACTGTGCATGTAGGATTAAACCATGCCTTTCAATAGACGCCCAAGTTCTTTTTTTGCAAACCCTTTCTTCAGAATCACGACGGGTGTTGATGTTGCGGGGTCAATCATCTACTGAGCTTCGTTTTCCGGAAGTAATTATCCAATTAGTTATTAAGGGGACATATTTTGAGGTAGTTTGCTAACAAATGCTCTTCCTCTAGGAAGCGGCAGGAGTTTAGTAGGAAAGCGGTTTGGATGAATTAACTACTTTACGATTCTTACTTAGTAAGGCATACTCCACTATAATTCTCCCAAGTTTGTTTTGCCCCTTTTTATTGTATCCGCAATACTTTTAACAAATTTACAAAAAAAGATGCTACATAGAAGATTCTAAAACCCAAAACCAAAACGAATCAACAGCAGGTAAGGATTATAGCCATTCAAAACCAACAAGCAAGCCCTGTACAGCACAATCCGTACAAGTTCGACCACGTCAGCCCTGGAGAATATCCCTTTGTATCGCCGAATAAAGGTGGAAGTGGGTATCTCATTACTCAAAATGGGGATGCCATTGGTCTCAAGCATCAATCAAATCTCCCTGGTGTAAACCGAAGGGCCAACAAAATCCTCTAGCATACTTGCAATGAAAATATTAACAAAGTGTTTAACACAAGGAGCGTTCTCCTAGCATGTCATGAAGGAGCTACTATGAAAGCCAGGCCAATAGTCTTGGGCACAGTTCTCTCTTATATA